TTTTTAAATGTTTTAAAATTGTGTATCTTATCTTGTACCTTGTGTATTCAACACATAGGAAAAGTTGTGTGTGGTGTGTAATGTCTGATCTCCTGATATGCCACTAATTTATGTTCTAGTTTTGAGCTTATACTTGAAATGTTTTACTTTCTGATTTTATTTTCATGGTATTATCATATTTTGTTCTGGTTGCTGAAAATGTACAAGATGGTGCTCCTAATTATGCTTTTATATTTTTCTTGACTTATCCCCTTTCTCTGCATTCGCTCTACAACTTGAGCCATGCTCCCAGCCCAGCCACCTCTACTTTTCATTTCCTTGCTTTTCAGGCCATTCCACAACACACATTAATCTTTCTCTGCTACTCTGCTCTCTCCTTTAGTCATTAATAACTCTTCTATCTCCACTGCCAAACCCAGTTGATTGCTTTTCAGGCTTTATCTTAATTGAGCTTTTCTCCCACAACTGAGCCTTGTATTCACAGCTTCTATGTGAAAACCCACTCTAGCTGTACTTTTCTGAGGAAGAAACCACCACTTCCCTTGCTTTACCCACTCCAATTCACCCTCTAAGTTTTTGTTACTGGGATCATTTTCCTCAGTTCCACCCTTACATTTCCCATACCCTCCTAAATTTCTATGAAGAAATATGTCAATTTTACTGGAAGGTATATTTATTTTATTTCTCTTTTTTACTAACGATAAAATAGTTGTACAAAGGAGTCTCATTGTGATATTTCCATTTACATGTTTTGATGTCAACTTCACTCCCATTACTCCTTTCTTAACCCCTTATCCTTCCTTCTACTTTTTTAAATAAGTTTTTAGTGGGCTTCATAGTTTTATGTTTACACATATGATAATGCACTTCACCCATGTCACCTTCTCCTTCCCCTTCTTGGCTCCTGCTTGGCTCCCCCTTCAAAACAGTAAACCTTGTTTACAACCATGTTAAAATGTCATTTACTTTTTACTGAGGTACGCTCCTTGGAATAACTCATCTACTCTTCTGTTTAACTTACTACCTCTCTGAGGAAAGAAGAAATCACAAATTGTGGAGTTGGGGTTCAAAAAT